AATCTGTACGATAGCATAAAAATAAAAGCGTCTCTTACTGTGCTTCCCTTTATCTACATTTTTAATTACTGTTTTGATTATTTGCGAAAGGTCAGTGATGTTGTATAGATATGAAATATATATGATTTATAGAAGAATAAGGTTGAAAAAAGAAAGAATGAAATTGTTATTTTCTGCGTATTATATTTATATTTATTTTGTACAGGAAAAAAAATACGAGATATTTTTATAAATTTGTTGAATTGATATGGTTATATATATATGGATTTTGAACGATGAATTTGAAATACGGATACGATTATCTCTTATTCTCTTCGATGTTTTGCATTATTTACGCGGAAATACGTGATAGAAATCATGTTTCTTCTTCTATAGTTCCTTTGTAATATGTGAAACAGTGTTTCTCAACTTTTTTCCAGACGCGATTTCTCTTTCGTAATATTAGAATTATTTTTAAGCTTCAAATGTATTTCACTCAAACTTAAAATAATTAAAATAACTTTAAAGAAAATAACTTTAGAAACTCTAAAATATGATATTGTAATTTTTAAAAAGGAAATTTATTCTTAACTTTGGTATCGTAACTGTTTGGTATTTTAACTTTTATAGTAATGAAAAGATGATTTTAGCAAAAATTAATATTCCAATATTTAAAAAGGAATATTTCAACTCTGGTACTTCAATCCTTGTATTCTAACTTTCATTAATGCCACATGACAATTAATATTCTTGAAATACAACCTTTGATAAAAAATATTCGATCATCTTTCAAAATAATTTTTTCTTGAAATTGGATCGAAGAATTTTTTGGAAAAAAAATCACTTTAAAAGGATTATTTTATTAGAGATAGGCACAAAGAAACTTTCTGCCAAGTAGAATTATAATTTTTATAATTTAATATCATAATTAACAATTTATTAGAAATTATTATCAAAAATAATAAAATCAGCGATTCATAAGTTGAGAACTACTGATATAAAGAGTCATTTATGCTGCTCAATAATTTGCGTTATGAAAATTACTTAAGAAAATTATCACGTTGCTTGAACAAGACTTAATTGAATTTTAACTGGACTTAATTGAACTTTTCATTGATCAAAAGTTAACTCCAACTCTCGTTTCACAAATAAATTATCAATCATTTTTTTGTTTTCGAAAGTGATCTCTGGATGTAATGTAAATTTTACATGGAGTTAATCAAAACTGGTCATTGAAAAAGTTTTATTACAAAATGAGAAAAAGCAACGTTGCTTCAGACTGATAACAACAATTGCTAGGATTTTACCGAAAGAAAAATTAAAAAAAAAAAAAAAAAGAAAAAGGAAAAAGAGAGAGAATGTCATATGTGTATACAACAAAAATATACGTATTGTAGCTGATGTGACGATCAGTTCGGTTTTATAAATATCCTTTTTCCTTTTTTTTCTCTCCTTCCGCCGACGAAATTCTATTTTTAATCTCGTTTGTTTGGATGTTTCTTCTTGTTAGGTTAGTTTATATTAAAAATTTTATTGTTACGTAGGGATGAACGTGGCGTGGGTGTAATAGTGTTTTAGATTCTAATGGAAGGGTTAATTGCGGTAGAACGCGACGAGCGAATGTTTGATGGAGGAATGAGAAAAGTATATCTACACAAGTATAAATAGAGACGTATCTGTAACACATGTTCTATATATGTTATTGAGACAATAAATGGAAGACCGATCGACAGTTTCTTTTTCTTTTCTCCTTTTCATCCTTTTCATATATCTTTGAAAAAAATTTTTTTTTATGGGATAAATCTTTGGGACTGCGAAATAGAATACGAAAAATAATCTAATATATCTGGTATATTGCTCTCTTCACGTAGTTATTTTTCTTCATAGCAAAAAATATTTCAGATAAAAGTTAAATGATTTTGAGAAGGCATAATATGATGCAATTACTTTTTTTAATAAAATTATATATTTTGAAATGCATCAGTAAATGTAGAATATTCTCCATAAAAAATTATTAAAATATTTATAACCAAGAACTATTAGTTTAAAAGATATTTAACTTTAATATTTTCAAAAGTAAGATATTTCAAATAGTTATATGGGACACTAAATATAAAATAATTTTTGGACAGCATTCTAAAATTACAATGAAAATGAGATTAACCTCATATTATCTTTCATTTTGTATACATTACAAAGAAATTTTAAAGAAAATTTCCTTCAAATTCATAAAAAAAATCTTTTTGGCATCTAATATATATACACATTGGTTGCTGCTCGTCGTGATGTGTTTACATAGTTTTTGTTGAAATTTTAGTGAAAAAAGTTTATTTATTAAAAAATTCAATTTATACATAATTCCTTATTATTAAAATATTTTATTTATATTTTATGTATAATCAATTAATGATTGCAAATTACGTAAATCAGATGCAAAAACAAGAAAAATATTTTTAAATGCAATCATGCAAATTTGAGAATTATTATCAATAGATGTGACCTGGCAATCTGAGGTTAGTTTAAACCTTTAATTCATCACTTGAATTATAGATAGAATGAAATGTCCATATAAGTATCATGAATCTCACGATATCGACAATGTTTTTTTCAATGTAATTTTTCTTTTTTTTTTATTGTCTACATTTAAAATATTTAAATCTCTAAATATAGATAGATCGATCTATTAATATTTTGAATTTTAATTATTTGAAATTAAAATTATATCATAACTTATTATTTTAATAATTATAATGTATAAATCGTATTATCTATGGAAAATAATTTATAAAATGAAAAATAAATTATTCCCTATGTCAATCAGAAAATAATCGAGCGAAACAGCTGAAAATAATTGAACTATACTCCTTCCGGTTAGGCCAGCATGCCTTGTATATTTTTAGAAAATATTTAGCGCTGCCAAAAGAAAAGACAACTCGTGTATCGAGTTTGCCATTGTTTTGCATTGCATAAGAGGTAGCCTTTCAAAACTTAATCTATATTTGTTATATATATCCACTGTTTTTCAACGAATTTTATTTGCAGTCGTGATTTTTGGTAATCGAGAATGACGAAATTATTCCCGATTGCATTACATCATTTTTTTTGTATCAATAAATTATTTATTATCAATTCTTGTCCATTAGTAATGAGAAAAATTATATTTTATCACGGGAAGATATAGCGTCATGCACAATTTATCAAATATGGACAGATACTTTTTGAAATTGAGTAATTTGAAATATTATTTTATTTACAACATATTATTTTATTTCATAATTTTATTCAAATTTATAATCATTAAAGTGATATTATTTGAAATATTAGTGAAAAAAAAAAAAAAGAAATCAGTCAATTTATTCGGGAAGAACAAAAAAAATAAACTATATTGTTCAAAAATGGCAGCTGTTTATTACGAAAAAAAGAAAGTAAATAGTGGATTAAAAAAACGGCTTAAGTTTACATTAAAAATAAACGGTTATGTCGTTTGGAAAGCAATATTCTAACGCAGTGTTTCTCAATCAATAGATTAAACTAAACCCAATTTTTAAAAATAATTGCATATATAAACAAGATACACACAATTTTATTTATAAATAATAAAATATGCATAACTTTATTCATATGATTATTTAATTCGTATATTTACACTCTTAACGCAGTAAGTTCTTACAAAAAGATTGAGAAACGCTGCCCTAACAGTTACCCTGTGTGCTTCTGTTAAGATTAATTAAGTATCCCTCGATAAAAAAGCAATCTCTGTCTTTCTGATCAGTCTTTACAATGTTCTTCAATTATCATCTGTCAATTATCGAAGAAAGAAAGTGATCGAATAGCGCCATGATGTCGCGCGTTCATAAACACGTATCGCATTTTTTTACGCAAAACAACCGATGACATCCCGCATTACAATAATAAATAAATATATTCTTGATGTCACATGCATCTCTTCGTAAATATTATAATTTCACGTTCAAACGATTTTATACGACGATCACATCGTCTTACAATATACAGGGGAAAAGATCACAAAATAAAAAAATAGGCACTCGGCATTGAAGCGTCCCATTTATGAATTGAAAGCACTTCCATTCGTTTGTGAATCACAAAAGATATTGCTTATTGGAACATTCGTTAATTCATCACATTTCGATCAATCTAATTAATTTTACAATCATAAATTGTGATAATCTTCTATGATTCTCGTTTAAATTGTTAATGTTTTCTAATTTCTTTCACCATGTAAGTGAATTTTTTTTATGGATATCTAAAATTTGTTATTGTCTATTCTGACATTTTTCTTTTCTTTTTCTTTCTTTCTTATTTTCTATCAGTAAGTAAAGCCAAAGTTTCTTGACACTTAAATACTTTTGAGATTCTTCCTATGTCGATCTGTATCGAAAGATAATTCGATGAATTATTTTTGTAATTAATACAAGTCTTAATATTTTTAACATTTTTTTCTAAATTGAAAAATTCAACGAATTATCTATCGTTTTCAATATGTTTTCTTTTTTTTAATCGACGCTTCCATGAGAAGAAAATTCGATGAGTTATTCATATACACTTCTACAAACTATTGCTTTCTAATAAAGGTGTAGTTTTGGTCAATTTCAACGCTCTCAACTGTTTGTACAATCGTTGTCTGCAAAACTGATAAAATTCGATTTCTCTGGTGAAATTGCTTCGCACCATGTCTTTCACTTCTTCGCTGACAGGTGGTTTGAAGAAATTCCGGTTGATTCTGGTAAACGCATTCACCTCGTCTAAAAAGTAAAAATTATTTCGTCATTAATTATTTACTAGATTCCTGATATTTATGAAAAAATTTTTTTTATCCACCATAATTATTTTTAATTATTTTCAATGATATATTATTATATATTGAAATATTATAATATATTAATAAGGCTCAAAAAATCAAAAAAAGAATTTGTTTAATTAAAGAAAAAAATAAGTATAATGAGATGATTTTCTCTTAAAAATTATCTTTCTTTGATACTTGACATGTACAAAACACGTTTAGTTCTGTGATAATTATCGGTTGATTGAGATTTACAGTTATATGCAAATAAAGAAACAAAAGAATTACCATAGTAGACGTCAGTGGCGCCTCGGAAAAATCGGGGTATATAATTTTCCAATACCGTGAGAGTGCTATTTACGTCCTCGAGTACACCAACCACTGCGTAGTGTTTCTCCACTGCCATTTTTGCTCGTTCTAGGGCACCCATCGTGTTGAACGGGCTTCAAACAAACAATAATTGATAAATGTAACAAGTGGTTGAATGATGAAAAAATAAAAACGTAGAATTAGTGGAACGATGAAGATATGAATAATGTATAATGGATTGAAAGAATTTTTTTTTTTTTTAATATTGTATTATGATTTTGAAAAGAGTAGAATCAATTTTTTTACATAACATATAGAGGATTATTAAAATTCTATTATTTAATTTTACTAATTTATAATTATAATTTTTTAACATAAAGAATTATATTATTAAAATTATTTATTAATTATATATACTTTGAAGTTAATATCTTTGGAAAATAGATTCTAAAATTAGATTTTGATTTAGACATTTCACTAAAATCCATTAAATTTTTTTTACAATCCAATTTTTCACAAGCAGAAAATAATTAGATAAAATATAGTATAGAATTATATTTTTTAATGAAACATTTTTATTAATTATATATATATTAATTTACTAATAGAATCCTTCATGGGTCACAATTTAACTTTACATTAAATATAATTCATCCCAGAACAAAATTTCCATTAAGGAAACCATTTATAAACGTATAATTTCTTCCATCCATCCGTGCATCTCTGTATACACAGGAAGGTAACAGTGGAATTTCTAGAGAGGACCTACGTGCATTTCTCGCTGTGGCCGCAGAAAAAAAGCGTTTGCCTGCGATGATCACCGATTCCCTCGTGAATCTCACCCTCGAGGTATCTGCATTCACGGTCCGCCTTAAGTACACAGGACTCGAAGTCCTTCTTCAGCCAGTTCGGATCCGGCAGTGGTAAGTCTGGAAATATTTGCTTTCTCTCCACGTAATACCAAGGTGCTCGCACGTAATAGTACCAGGATATCACTCTCTCAACAGGATCCCGGACTATGTTGATGTAAATTGGCTGAGGCAGGTTGAATCTGTAAGGAAAAACAGTCCTACGTCAAATATCTCGTGGGAATCTGGTTCACGTTACTTGCAGTTACATTAAAAATTGAATAATTGCATGAAATTCTCTTTAACATGTCACGAAACAAAAAATTTATTGACCGTTTATATTTAATGAAATATAAAGGAAATGAGCGAAATTTGATCAAGATATATTAGAGTTAAATTTCAATAAGTGAAATTTTATAAATGTATAATTTGATTTTTAACTTTTATTTAAGATTTATATCTACATATCTATTTTAATTTTTCTTTTAATAATTATATTTTTCTATGTTTTATGAAGAAAATTCTGAACTTAACAAAAGAATTAAATTAAATATTGAATATCTATATTTTATAAATGCACAATTTTCAGATTTGATTTTCGATTTTTATTTATTTTAATTTTCAATTCTCTGATTTTTTTTTTCAATAACTATACTTTTCTATGTTATAATAATATGTACAAAGAAAATTCTAAACTCTCGAACCATGTAAGAATTTAATTTCAATGTAATACTCCATAAATATAATTTTTATTGTACTTCGTTATTGTCGCGTTATTTAAAATTACAATTATTTAATTATAATATAAAAGTCATTTAATTTTTTAAAATACTTACTCTGTAAAATTTGTAAAACACACATGCTTTATATAAACAGATGGTTCTGAATAACTGCTAACCATCGTTGCAAGTTGAAGCTAAAAATATATAAATATATAAGTAACAAAATCTCTCAATTAAACAATTTTATAAATATTAGATCAAATATGATATATTAAATATTTTATAAATGATATTTTATGATAAATGATTTATCATACCTGTTCAATAGGCGCAAGTCGTATTGTTTCGACTCTTTGTACACGATCTCTGTTGAACGAGAAGCCATTCCTCAGGGATAACCTCCTCAACAATTCCATAAAGGTCTGAGAACCCACTTTTGGTACGCGATTAAAGAACAAAACGCTTCGATCCGCTCTTTTCGTGTTGTTGAGCGCATCGATGTCCAATACTTCAGTTTCTTTGTACTGAAATTAACAAAAAAATTTTAATATTCTGTTTATTGTTCATCTTTTAATCTAATATTGAAGATCATAAATCTCTATTTTCATAATAGTATCGAAACATTAATCTTAATTTTTGCAATAATTTATTATATATAAATTATATATCTAAGATTTCTTTTAATTTTACTATCATCAAATTAAACATTCGAGATCATTAAAAATCGGATGGAAAAAGCGAATATTGATTTTCGATAAAAATAATGATAAAAATAATTAATTATAAAAATACAATGAAATCTAAAATAGAATGTAAACATAGATAACGATACTTGTATTGGAAATAAGAATTATTTTTCATATTTCTTGGAATAATGCGAATGTATACATCAACTGCTATAAGAAATATAAAAATAAGAAATCTTGATGATGCATACGTGTGTCACCGATCTCAAATTTGTTAACATAATTAATTAGTAATTTATATTTTGTTAAATTATAGAAGTCAAGTGAATACTAAACAGATATTACATTATCATAATTTTACCATATTAACATTAGCATAATTGATTGATTGCAGAAGTCAATATCAATACTATATAATAGTATTAATTATATTAATATCAATAATATATATTATCATAATTTTTCCATATTGATATTAGCATAGTTAGTTAATTACAATTTATAAATTGAATAAAAGTCAATGTCAAATATTTTTTACGAAATAAAAATACTTTAATGATTCGTTTCAATCTTAAAAATTGTTATGTTCTAATTACGAAAGCATAGATGGTAAACAGAAGAGAGTTGTCACGATTTTAATCGATTTGTTTTTCTTTTTCATCATCCAATTCAATCATTTCCCTATTCCGGGGAGAGTAGTTCTCATTCCATTCCCTTTCGTTGAATAACTATTTGCAATATCGGCAAGTCATTCCATGGTACATGATGAGCGTGTAATTGCAAATAGAGACGCGAGTAACGAATACCTCGTTTCACCTCGACTTCCGGGTAATTTTTGCGCTCGATACAAACGATCGAAGAAAGATATTAGATAATTGAATCCCTTAGAAGCAGCGATGTAAAGTAATTTTATTTTGCAGGATTCATCCTTGAAACATGATATTCGATGATAAATAAATAAAAAAAAAAATTCTTTTAAAAATAGAAATGGATATATAAAATGCTTAAAGAAGATAATTAAAAATATCATAAGGAAAAAATTAATTTTTATTAATTAAAAATAACTGTATAAATATTATCTATCGAACCTTTGTTTCGTTCCATTGCTTTCGATTCAGCCTGCTTCACTTCATGCAATCGAGTCGATCAGAACAAACATTGAAGCTTTACTTCCGCAAGCTTGTCGATGATATATAATTTCAATATAGAATTCCTTTGTGCAAATTGTTTGATTGATCTTTGATTGCTCATTGCTTCAAAATCTCGAATATTTTTTTTGAAATGGTAATCACGGCTTCTCGTGTTAAAACTCATCGTTTTTATACTATATGATGTTCGATTATATAAATTTTAATTATTCAATCAACAAATAACATAAAAAATCAATAAGTGTAAACTTGTTGATTGAACTAAAATTAAAAAAATCTATCACACTTACATCATTCAGTTATAATATAACAAAGTTAAATTATTCAGCCAAGAAGTAACATCAAAAATCAACAAGAATAAATCCATTACGTATATACTTCATACGACGTTCAAGTACAATAAAGTGCAAACAGCAAAGCGTTTAATCCCCTCTTCGTTAGAAGCTGAGCAAACAAACTGACGATTCAACGATCGTGTACGTACTAACCTAACCTAACCTCTATCGCAGTGTGTACATGGCGAAACAGAAACGTCAGCTTGTCTTCTTTTTTCTGTCCACATTCTCGTAGCTTGGCATTATGCCACAAGCACATCACATTATTACATTATTACTAAACACGTTTGCTTCCTTCTTGATTACGGATTTCTCGACTTGCCTATCTTCTCGATGTCCTTCTTTTGCGAATTCTTAGGACGATTTATGAACCATCCTTCGGTTTTACTGTATTAAAGGATTTAAACGTAATTTGTAACATTATCTGTGTAGTATATTACGAAAGAAATCTTAAATATATTTCTATTACTATTTCTTGATAACTATAATTTAATTGCAATTTTAAGAACTTATTCTCAATTTTTTCTATCTTTTCTATTTTGTATTTTTAAATATAAATATATCATGAAGAAAATTTTGAATTTATGTTATTATTTTTTATTATAGATATATAAAAGTTTTGAATTTATCGTTATTATTTTCCAATGATCATAACCTCACTTTGAAAATTTATTTTCAATTTTTTCTATTTTTTTTATTTTACATTTAAATTTACTTTCATTAAAATTTTGAAAAAAATTTGAAACATTTTATTATTTTTTTATATAATAATGCGGTGAGTTTTATATTTGTTGATCCGTTATTTATATAATGATAACAGAACTATGAAGTTACCGTTTGAAAACACTTTTTTCCTTCGCACTCTAATTCTTAAATGGATTTCACTAAAATAAAAATTCTTGTTTTTTTTTTTTTTTTAATAATACAGTTATCTAATTAAACTTGCGAATTAAGCGTTTATATCATTTGAATGATATTACATTGAATATATTAACTCGTTCATTAATCAAATAAATTCTTCGAATTTTTTATTTTATTAATATTTATTGAGATATTTTCTTAAATAATTAATTTAAATAATAAAATGTTTAAATTTTTATTATTAAATTTTGTCATTCTATTACTAGTAAAATTTAGAATTTAAAATTTATTGAACGATTTAATAATTAATTTTATTATCAGTAATAAAAATAATTAAAAATGTTTTTAATGAAGAAGAACAAATGACTTCGTATATTAAATAAATGTATGCAAATAAATAATACATATTTGAACTAGTGCGTAACAGATAACATAGTAGATCAAATGTAATCTATTATGCCTAGGGATATCCTCTTTGTGGGTCATTTGGTATTTTATTGTAAATTTTTGCGGCGAATAACGGTTAATATAGAATAAAATAAGAATAATTTAATGATTCATCGCAAAAGAAATTCTTGGCGCAAAATAAGCTTTAACAACGTTTAAATGATTATGACAACACCTGAAATAGACTTTATGAAATATAGAAATTTTTTTTCTTGTTCTTTCACCACATTAAATTTATCAATAATGAATTTACATTCATTATCAAATTATTCTATTCTTTTCATGGTTCACAGTTCACAGTTATAATTTATTATATTTTTATAAATTATGACAAATCTAATTATGTTTCATTTATTCGTATCGTATCAATATTAACAAGTAACTTAAGATATTTAAATAGAAATATATTGATATTTAAATAGAGAATTATTAATTAATTTATTGTCTTCATTTAGATTAAAATTTCATCGAAACAATAATGTTATTAGAATTGGTTTTGCTTGGATATCCGACAGTTATATAGCGTAATATAAATTCAGAGTAACATTCACGGTCGACGTGTTTAAGCGATTAATGGTTAGGCTGAAAGGCAGCAATCCATTTCGCGGTTTCACGCATCGTGACCACTATAATGTTTCCAATGTGTTATTTTTCCCTTCTTGCTAGTGACCGTGTTTCTTCCTCAATATCTTTTGTACAATGTTAAATCTTCGTGATTGTGGATATGTAATCGAAAGTCAAACAAAAGTCATACAAATTTCTTTTATTCCTTTATTTCTTTTGTTTTTTAAACATTCATACATATTTAGAAATTGTTTCAATTTATCGTTTTTGAAGTGAATTTTTAACTGAATCGAATATTTTATTATTGAATTTCGATTATAATAAGTTTAATATATACTTATGCTTCCATAATTTAGCTTCTATAATTTAAATTCATGTTCATGTTTTTTCTTCTCAAAAATCAAAAATCATTTCAAAAGATTGATTGATCGAAAACAATTTTAGTAGAAACATTTTCCACTGTCACTGAAAACAAAAATAATTCGAGTTAAGTCCAATCATATTATCATAATTTCATTTTACCTCTTTCAATATAACCTCTTAATTTCATTTCATATCACGTAATAGATCAGTTGATTAAAATTCAAATAACAAAGCTCAATTGGCATTCATCGATTAGATTTTCGTTACTTTTAGCTCATGAGACAATGCAGGTTTGTGACGAGTATTTTACCGTTTCTCAGGTGCGTGTTACATGTAACGGGTGGATCCGAAATAAGGTCGACTGCTATAACGGATAACGATACGAATCGCTTGGTTTTCAATGTTTTTCCAACGGCCATCGCCATGATTACTCTTCTTGCACATCTTGTCGCCCGCATCCTGCAGCGTCACCGCATTTCGTTCCGATTCTCATCGTAAATGGTGATGGAACTACGTTAACTTTATAGAATTTCATTATTTTTATTATATTTCTTTTATTATTATTGTTTATTAGTTGGTTGAAACAGTATTTGTAATAAGTTTGTTCATGTTTTTTTATAAGAACATTAAATAATGAAATAATATAAATAATTCAATTTTTAGTATTAGATAAGATATTTTGTGTCTTTTAATTGAAAATTAAAATAACTTCAAAAAAATTTCAATATAATAATTATTGAAGAAAATTTCAGATAAAAATTAAATAGTTTCGAAAAAATATTTAATAATTTGATATAATTTATATATATATATTTTTTTTTTTTTTTGATA